TGGTGGGGTTTTTGTTGTTGTTTTGTTTGCCCTGGAAGCTCTGCCTTCCTAACTCCGTTTTGCTTAGACTAATGAGTTTGCCTTCCCTGACTGAGCACAGCTCAAGTAGGGGCTGGGAGGTTAGGGGGCCTGCGGAGGGGGAAGGGAAGGGGGGAGCCAGTCTGAGATTAAACATTTGCCACCGATAAGCCCACTATAGTTAATCGAGAGCAGCCTCTAAATAAGGACTCTCAATTTCTAATTTTATCTGCTTTTATTCATCTGAGAAAGTAGCGGGAATAAGAGATCCAAGGAAATTTGTTCAGCTGAATGGCTGCCACCCCCACGGCCACTTAGCTGCATGAATCAATCATAATATTAGCTCACACATATAGGGGTCTATTCCCCACAACAGCCCTGGGAGGTTGGCAGGCCGGCCAAGTATTGTTATTCACATTTACATATAAGGAAACTGAGGCTCAGAGAGGGACCCCTCCCCACCCCAATAGAGGACCTGGATTCAAACCTAGTGCTCCCAGACCCGGGTTTGGCTTCTGCCTTAGCCTGCTTCCTCTCCCTTCAGCAACATCCGTAGCATCAGCAATCCCTGGTTTGGGGGAAATCAGCGTTGACGAAATGTCAGCCAAGAGACTGTGGACAAATGGGAGTCTTGTGAGGCACAGATGGCCAGACTGAGCAAGTCAGAGTTGGGGGATTTGGTTAGCTGTCATTTGCTTGCTGACCCCTGGGGGATTGGGGAATGAGGGGGAGATAGCTTAGCTTTCCATTCAGGGGGCTACCGATTTGCAAAGACACAGGTCATGGATTATATTTAATAAAGACAGAAGATCAAAAAGCCAGAGAGCTAAATACTCTCTCTCCTTTCTGTAAGGGCCTAGACCCAGAGCCCCACAGCTCTCCCAACCCACTAGGGAGGGAGCGGGAGGGGAAGGAGGAACAGGGAGGGGAGTGAGGGAGGAGGCAAGAGGAAGAGGGGGTGGGGGAAGGGAGAGGAGGAGGAGACAGAATTTCTTCCCCACCGTCAACAGGTTAAATATTAGGATCAACAGCCCTGCGGATGCTGTGTTCACTTACAAAAAGAATTTATTACCCTCTAAACAAAAAAGCATCATTGCCAGCCGGCTGTCGGGAATGAATGGGAAAAGGATGCTTGCCGACCATTTTTTTTAAATAGTCTTCAATTTACTTCTTAATTATGGTTCTAACACCGACTCTGAAAATGGAAAGATTTACTGTACTTCCCCCTGGGCCCATATATTCTGGACCACTTAAAGGAGCATTTACTTCTCACTCTGCATCTCCAATGGGCTTCAAAATAGGGGGGCTTGGCTGACTTCCTTCAGACCCACCAGCTCAGTAGCTCTCTCCATTTCTGGGGATGGTTTGTACACTGTAGGCTTCAACAATTTTGTGTGTGTGTGTGTGTGTGTGTGTGTGTGTGTGTGTGTGTGTGTGCACTGTCATAGGCACGATGCAGGAGATGTATATGGCAGAGTCCTTATCCCAAGGGAGCTTACAATCAAATGAGGAAACAAGGCAGACACAAGAAACAGACAAGCCAGGTGTTAGCAACAGCATGTGTCCATACATAAATGCAGAGAAGGGAGACTTGGCTGAGGTTGGGGGGAGGTGAAGGAGCAATAAAGGACATTCATTTGTTCTTGGTCAGTGGAGAAGTGCAAAGAGACCCCATAAGAAAAAAAACAGGAGCCACTGATATTTTTATTCACCTAATTTTCCTCAGTCCTACAATTATAATGATTTCCTAGCTGGTCAAATCTCAGGGCACATAGATACTCAACAGCATGTTCTCAATAGAAGCTGAGCAGAGATAGACAAACGTGGCTCACTTAATATCAACCCCCTAGAGGGTCACATCATTGCTAAAAAACCAATTCACACATTCGTACTCACACTTTCTGCCACCAGGTAGGGGATCCTGGTCCATTGCCTGGAAATTGAAAATTTTAGAAAGGAGGGGCAAGGACGGATCTCATTCACAGAGCAGACCACCAGAAAAGAGAGGAGACAACGTGGCCCCCATCATCTCTCTCTCTCTCTCTCTCTCTCTCTCTCTCTCTCTCTCTCTCTCTCTCTCTCTCTCTCTCTCTCTCTCTCCTCTCCCTCTCCTCTCCTCCTCTCTCCTCTCTCTCTCTCCTCTCTCCTCTCCCTCTCCTCTCCCTCTCCTCTCCTCCCCTCTCTCTCTCTCTCTCTCTCTCTCTCTCCCTCTCCCTCTCCCCCTCCCTCCCTCCCTCCTCCTCTCTCTCTCTCTCTCTCTCTCTCTTCTCCTCTCTCTCTCCCTCTCCCTCTCCCTCTCCCTCCCTCTCTCTCTCTCTCTCTCTCCTCTCTCCTCTCCCTCCTCCTCCCTCCCTCCCTCTCTTCTCTCTCTCCTCTCTCTCTCTCTCTCTCTCTCTCTCTCTCTCTCTCTCTCTCTCTCTCTCTCCCCGTTTCTCTGTGTGTGTCTCTGTCACACACACACACACACACACACACACACACACACACACACACACACAGAGACAGGCGACACCTGCCTTCAGCCTAATCACAATGCTACAATAAGCAGGGGACCCAGCTCCTCCTCATCCTAGGAATCGGCAGGGCAACTTCGACGTAGCAACCCCAGCACCCTATTGGTTTGCTCGTTTCCGGGGCGTTCTTCGCAACGGCCAGCTCCCCACCCCCAGGGAGAGGTGCTGTGCCCAAGAATGGCCTCTAAGAGGCAGTGTTTAAACACTGCCCTCCCTGCGGAGCTGGAAACCCGTTTGGGCTCTCCCTGCCCAAATGCAAGGTGGCAGAAGTGTTGATATTGTAGTCTGTTGGGCATGGCTGGCTTCAGAAATGGGAGCTTTTATGGAGGAGCACCTTCGTGCCCCTGAGAAATTCGTCTGCAAGGCCCTCTTGTGAGGCTGGCCCACATCACTAATCCCATCCTAGGGACAAGAACTCAAACAAGCACCTGGGTCTAGTTGGAGCAAAAGCAGGATTTGAACTCTGGGCTCGCAGCCAGCCCAGGTTCCAAGAGCCCTAGCCACCTGCACAGAAGCCCTGGGCCGGGTAGAGGGTGCTAATGACTGTGCCCTTACCTTGCTCCTCATCTGGCCTGATGTGGACACTTTGCTGACGAGCTTGTGGGAGCTTCCTTCTTGCTCTCCCTCGCTGCCAGAGGATTCCTCTCCCGGCCCCTCTGCTGCCAGCCTGTCCAAGTCCAGAGAGGAGCCAGAATCCCTGGGCTTCCCAGCCACCAAGTCCCCAGGTGGCAGCAGCTCAGCCATGGTCCCAGGGTCTCACTTAGGGGCGCCACAGGCCAGGAGCTCCCGAGACTAGCCGCTTTTCTCCCTCCCACTAGCTTCTAAAAGACAAGAGCAAAGCACCCGGTTAGGCAGCCTTGCCCTGGCTGGCTGGCTGGCTGGCTGGCTGGCTGGCTGGCTTTCTTGCAGCCTCGCTGCTCCACTGGAGAGAGGGGTTTGGCAGGAAGCAGCCCCTGCAGGGGAGTGGGGCTAGGAAGCCGGGCCTCCCGCCTGCCCCACACCAAGAATCACCGGCCAATTTTGCTCCTCAAACCTCTGCGCCCTTGCTTTCAGCAGGACTATTGGCTTGAGCCTTCCTCTCTTCGGCCCTTCTCTCTGACTGCAATTATTTTGCAAACTCTAGCTTCCCTCATTGCGACTCAGAAAGCAAGAAGTGCTCCATTTCTGTCTGCCTAACCTCCCCTGCGCCCGCCCCACCGCCGCCGCCGCCGCCGCTGCCGCTCAGCTGCATTCTGTTCTACAGGTATAGGGATGACCAAGAGCCACCGGCTTCGACCGGGGGGGGGGAAGGGGGGGGCCAAGGACGTCTGGGTGTGTAAGGGGGAGAGCGCAGCGGGTGCCCTAGCAAGATTATCCCACGTCTTTCAGGTCAGGAAAGGAGGAGTAGGGGGAGAACAGAAAGACAGAGACAGGCGGAGACAGAGATAAACAGACACAGAGAGAGAGACAGACATGCAGATGAGACCAGACAGAAACAGAGAGAGAGGAGAGACACAGAGGGATGGAGATAAAGGAAGGGAGGGGGGAGGAGAAGAGAGGGGGGGAGGAAGGGAAGAGAGAGAGAGAGAGAGAGAGAGAGAGAGAGAGAGAGAGAGAGAGAGAGAGAGAGAGAGAGAGAGAGGAGGGGGAAAGAGACACAGAGGCAGAGACAGAAAGAAACTGGGGGGTGGGTGGAGAGGAGAGAGAGAAAGATGTCACAGAGACTTCGGCTCAAGTCCAGCGCATAAGAAACGGTTTGTAAAAGGTAACAACAGATCTCGGTCCCTAGATCACCTCCGCTCACTGCACCCCCCCACCCCCCCCACACCCCGCTTTGGCTCTGAGCCAGCGCCTGCCCCTCTTGGGGCTAACTGCCAAAATACCGACCATGACACTGCGGAGAGGGAGCGCGAGAGGGCGGGGTCCCAACCAAGCAGCCCCCAAAGCAGGATGGCTTTTTAGATACCAAGCTGGCGGCCGTCGGCGGCCCCCACGCCATCCTGCGGCCTGGGCCCCCGGCGTGTTTCAGCCCCATCCCAGTGCCTGCGCGCTTACCTACCTGCCCGGAGATCCTGCAGCCCGCGGAGCGGCAGCTTGGCCAAGGCACCAGCGGGAGCCCCGAACCCGTCCCGTCCTTTTCCCTCCACCCCGCCGGCTGGCGATCAGAGAGAAGCCTGGGAACCCGGCCCAGCCTGGCCCGGCGGCGGGCACCAGGCGAGCGCCCGCGGCTCCTGCAGTGCGTGCGTGCGTGTGTGTGTGTGTGTGTGTGTGTGTTGTTTGTGTGTGCGCGCGCGTGTGTATTAGAGAGAGATTGACACAGAGACAGAGACAGAGAGACATAGGAGAGAGAGAGAGAGAGAGAGAGAGAGAGAGAGAGAGAGAGAGAGAGAGAGAGAGAGAGAGAGAGAGAGAGAGAGAGAGAGAGAGAGAGAGAACGAGAGAGCGAGAGCTTGGGAGCCGAGCCGAGCCCACCACCAGCCTCCTGCCTACCTCCCGCCTGCGCCCGGGGCTCGGGCGTGCACACAGGCAGCCGGGCGACCCCGAGACGAACCGGAGAGGCCGCCCGGAGCCCCCCTGGCTTTGCTGCCCGCCCGGCCGGCCGCCTGGCTGCCTGGAGGAGCCGCGCCGTTGCCGGCGCTCGCTCTAGCTCCCCGGCCGGGGGCCCGGCCCAACCCAGCCTGTGCTGCCGCTGCGGCACTAGCGGGAGAGGGAGGTGGGTCCCCGAGATAACGCGCCCGCCTCCGTGCAGGGCAGCGCTGGGACAGCCCCGCCGCTTCCACCTCCTCCAGTCTCTTGCGCTCCCTGGAGGCGCTCTCAGCTCTCCGCTCTCCTCTCGCCCTGTCTCCTGTCTCCCGTCTCGGCTCTGCAGCCCAGCCAAGCGCCCGGCCGGCGCGCCCTGCCTCTCCCCTGCACCCCCCCCTCGCGTCCGCCCGCGGTCCCCTCTCTCCGGCGGCTCGCCGCACCCCCACACCGGCAGATCGCCGCACCCCCACACCGACCGGCTCGCGCGCTCGCTCGAGCACTTGTTGCTCCCGCCTGCCTGCCCGCCTTCCCGGACTCCGTCTCCCCAGCCGCCGCAGAGGCGCGCGTCGCGCTGCTCTCTCCTCGCTCGAGGCCAGGCCCCGGCGCGCCCTCCCCGCTCCTCACCAGGATTCCCGCACCCGCTCCCGCAGCCTCCGCCGCAGCCCCCGCTGCAGCCGCGCCGGCTGCTGCCCTGTCCCACCTCAGGGTGCTGCCGCGCCGCCGTGCCTCCTTCTGCTCCTTGCCCCGACGGTCCCGAGCCCTCGGCGGAGGCGTCCGGAGATGGTGGCGGGTCGGTGGCTCGGATGCCCCGGGCGGCTGCCGTGCGGCGCCGCATGTCGGTGCGCTGGCCTGCGGCGGGCCGCGAGGCGCAGGCGGCCCGGGTCCGCTCCCTCGGCTCTGCTCGGCTCCGCTCGGCTCTTCTCTGGTCTGCTCGGCTGTGATCTGGGCGGCTGGGGCGCGCCGGGGTCCGCGCCCCCAGCGCCGAGCTGCTCTGCTCGAGCTCTGGGGCGCTCTCCTCCGAGGTCCGGCGGGCGCGCAGTCCAGGAGCGCTCTGGCGGCGACGGCGCGCTCGGCCAGCTAAAGCAGCAGCCCCCAGGAGCCTCTGCCAAACTTTCCCCCTCCCCACAGGCTCGCGCGCTCGCGCCCGCGCTCGCAGTCCCCTCCCCTCCCCTCCCCTCCCTCTCTCTCTCCCCCCTCCCCTCTCTCACGCTCCCTCCTTCTCTCTCTGGCCGGGCTGGGCTGGGCCGGGCCGGGCAGGCAGCAGGCAGCAGGCTGGCAGGCTGGCCTGGCGCCGCTCGCTCCCTCCCTCCGAGCCGATCTGAGCCACTTTCGGGGTGGACGGGCGCGCGCGCCGCTTGCCCCTTCGCCCCCGGCTCCCTCCTCAGCCTCCCACCCCCATTCCTATCCCAGGCTGGCTGCCAGGGAGACGGACACACGGACGGGCAGGGGGGGGCGGGCACAGGGGCACGGAGCGATCCGGGTGACCTCCTTGAGGGGTAGAGGCTCGCGCGCTCTAGGGGGCGCAGAACAGGGGAGGAGGACGAAGGGGCAAAGAGGGCCAGGAGGGCGAGAGCGTAAAGGGGGCAAGGGGGGCGGGGGACGAGGGGTGAGGGGCGAGGGGCGAGGAGGGCGGGGGGGGAGGGGAAAACGAGATGAGGGGGACAGGGGGAAAGGGGGATGAGGGGGGAAGGGGGACTAGGGGCAAGGGGGCGGGGGAAAGGGGAATGAGGGGGAAAGGGGGATGGGGAGAGGGGACGAGGGGGTAGGGGAAAGAGGGATGAGGGGGCACAGGCGGGGGGACGAGGGGCGAGGGGATGAGGAGTGAGGGGAGGGGGAAAGGGGGACTAGGAGCGAGGGGGGCGGGGGGGAAGGGAGATGGGGGCAGAAGGACAAGGGTCTAGGGGGGCGGGGGGACTAGGGGTGAGGGGGCAGGGGGACGAGGGGCAGGGGGAGCAAGGGGGTGAAGGGGAGGCAGGCTGCCTCGCTGACAGCTTTGCGGTGCTCCCCTTGGAGAGCCGGTGCAGGGCATGCACCCCTCTCGCCTCCTCTGCGCCCTGGACGCCTGTCCCTGCCCGTCCAGCAGCAGGTGAGCAGCCCAAGCGCTGCGGCACCTCCAGCCTCACTTCCGCCTGGGGAAGGCGGCAGCGAATCTCATCATAAACAGGTGGATGGGTGGCTTGAGCAAGATGGTGTAGTTGGGGTAGAGGCTGGGAGGTTGCTTCGCTCTTCTTTATTTGGTGTCAAAATCTCCCAAGTCTTCTGAATATATGCGCTAGAAGCTCTGGGACTCTTAGAGATGAGCGAGGCCTTCTCAGCTGGTGGGGAGCCCAGTTGGGGCCCCCAGCCTAGGGACAGAGAACACACGGCTTGCTGCCTTTTCTCACCTAACAAATATTCCACTCTCTACTCACTTTATTCGCTTTATTTTGGCCTCTATTTTCCATCTTGGTTATTTTTCTCTTGTCTACATTCCTGTCTCAGACGTTTGGGTGTCTCTGGGACCACTCTCTCAGGGCTTCATGTGCCTATCTTGTCACTTTCCCTATTTCCTAGACTATGTTTCTTTTCTCTTTTTCCACCATATTTTCCCCCAACTTCCATTTCGTGTGTACTTCTGGCTTCTCTTTCTACCATTCCCCATTTCTTGATTTTGTCTCAGCAATCCCTTTGTATCTGAGGTAATTGGCATATCTGCCCACTGCACATCTCCTGGTACCTGGGCACTTGGTGCTCCCAGACTTCAAAGAAGCCGTCTCAACAGCTCCATTCATTGTATGAGGGCAGTGCTCCACAAAACTGCCCTCAGTGTTGGAGTGGAGATACTTCAGAAGCCCAGAAAGCCAAAGGCTAGAAACCTCATTGAAAAGTTGGACAGGGCGCCAGAGCAGGAATGGCTCGGCTCAGAAGCTGCCTGCTCGCCTGCCTGTGGAGGGGAGAAGGCCTGCCTTCCCACTCTTTTTGCTGTCCTAAGCATTTTTTCAAACTTAGTTCATTCTGGAATTCAGCTTTACACCCACAGTTCTTAGAGGCATACTCCCCATGTCAGTCTTGACTTGATTACTATTCTTAGAGTAAGAGGTGGGCAGTAGACTGGGATGGGGGGAGGGTCAGAGGAAGGGATGAGCATGGTGGCAGGACATTCAGAGTCGGATAGCTGTGAAGTATGGTCTGAGGCTGGTTAGATAAAGTGGGTTAGATGAGTTTATAAGTCACTCACCAACCAAGATAGCTCAGCCTCAAGGAAGAGTTCCAAAATTGAGGGAATTTATTCCGCCAACAACACAGAGGTGCTGTCCTACTATGAACCTAGCCATTCCTAACTTGCTTCCTACTCCTCTCCTAAGTCTTCCTGGCCATCACTGCCTTGCCCTACTGCCTGCACCGAATCCCCTTACACAGCTGTTGAGGCAGCAGGCACACCAGCTCTTGAGGGGAGGCTCCTCTGGGCAGGCCTGCCCCCGTCCCCTTGCTGCCTCCTAGAAGCCCTCTATGAGGCCAAAGCTAAGCTTGGAGCAGCTGCTTTGTGCTAGGCCACTACCCTACCCCTCCTTGTGGCCTCTTCTCAACCCTAAAGGGTCTGGGTTTGCCTTTGTCAGGCCCAGTGGAGAGAAAGAGGAAGGGAAGAAGCTTGGGCCTATGGCCTAGTGTCAGAGATGGTACAGTGGGACAGGATGCCACCAGGGGACAACTTGAAGCTGTGTCTTTTTTTCTCATGTGTGTCCAAAGGCAGAATTTTCAGCTCCGAAGCACAATCTAGAGCAGGGCTTCCTAAATTTTTTCTACTCTCACCCCTTCAGCACTTCTTTAAACCACCTGGGTCGGGAGCCACAGTTTAAGAAGCGCTGACTAGGGTATACTTTCTGAGGCCTTCCTTGGCACTAGATGGCTCAGGCCAGGAGATTGAGACATTGCAGCAGGGTGTGCCAGGCTTTGGAGGGGGTAGGCCTTGCCTGTGTTTCCTTGGGGGTATTGAAGGCATTATTAGTGTCTGTGCCTCATTCTCCCCAGCTAAATGAGAAGCACCCAAGAGCAAGGAAAATGTCCTCCCTAAACTTGGGTCTCCCCCAGAAGAATTTAGCACAGGGGGCCAGGCACACAAATAAACGAATACTCAGAGCAGATATTGGGGGAGGGGTTAAATTTCATGGCCTCATATATTTTGAAGTGAAAGATACTTCCAGGATAATATAGCCGAACTCCCACATTTTACAGCAGAGGAATCTGAAGCAAAAAGAAGGGAAAGGACTTGCCCAAGGTCACACATGGACTTTTTAAGTGAGGGAGTCAGTATTGGAACCCAAGTCCTTTGCCTCTAAATCTCTTTCCACTGTGCCGTGGTCACTGATTAGGATGTTAGGAGCCACTGGGTTAACTGATGCTTTTTCTAGTAGAACAAGACAGGCTGAGGCCAAATAGCCGCCCAAGCACACTTTCAGTCGGGATAGATATAATTGACCTGCATTAGACACCAGTCAGGAAGGTATAGCCCAGGGGCGGGGAACCTTCAGCCCTGAGGCCACATGTGGCCCTCTAGGTCCTCAAGTGGGGCTCTTGGACTGAATCTACACTTCACGGGACAAATCCCCTTAATGAAAGGATTGGTTCTGTAAAACTTGGACTCAGTCAAAAGGCCACACCCAAGGACCTAGAAGGCCCCATGTGGTCTCGAGGCCAAAGGCTCCCCACCCCTGGTGTAGCCCTCCCTTGGGAGGGGAGACGTGATGAGAGTTTCCTTAAGCCGGCTCATTGGACCGGGCCTCAAAACAGTGAAATGTGCTCATTTCTCCCCACCCCTACCCCCATGCCCCCCAACATCTGACAGCATACTTTGTACACAGTGGCTAGTGTAGGCATAGTGGCCAATCGATTGCCTGCTCGAGGGAACTCCTGGCAGCAGCCAGGACCCCAAACCTGAGCCTTATGCCCCCTGCCTCCAGCATCAGCTGAGCTTGGTCTTTTAATGCCACTCGATTATGGCTCTAGGCCAGCAGCTTCTCCTTTTCCGGGTAAATGAGGTGTGAGCCCTGGATTTGGAGTTAGTATATCAAATCCCAGTTTGGGGCTTCCAAGCTGAGTGACCTTGGAGAAGTCCTTTCCCTTCTCTGTCTATTTTCTCACCCGTTAAAAGAGAGGGCCGAATGGTTGAAGATGGCCTCTAAGGTCCCTTCCTTCTCTAAACCTGGGATCTTCCATGGAAAGAGTGATTCGAACCCCTCAGCTATGACACTCTCTACGTGGGTGACATTAGGCCAGTATCTCCACCTCTCTGGGCCTCTAAGTTTCTTTCTAACTCTAACCCTATCTAAGTCCCTATAATCTTGAGCCAGATATCATTCTGCCTCCCTAGGTCTCCGTTTTCTCATCTGTAAAGTGAGGTGGCTGAGCTAAATAATCTTTCAGCTTAAAATCCTAAGGAAGGAGAAGGGGGAAACGTAGCAGAGTTGGAATATCCCAGCTGGGTCTTTCTGCAGGCTTCCCCCTTGTCCACCATCCCCCCCTTCCAGTCCCTGCTCCTCTCCCCCCCCCCTTCGTTCTGGTGCTAGTGACCTGAGCACAAGGAAGTAGCAGTGAGGTGGTGTAGAGCCTGGGCTTTGGGTCCCACCTCACACACTGATTAGCCGTGTGACCCTGGCCAAGTCATTGCTCCTCTCTTAAGCTTCAGTCTACATACGTGTGAAAAGGGAATAAGAATATCATTTACCCCACGTGGTTGTTGTGAGGGTCAAATGAGATGGGGTATGCAGTGCTTTGCAAGCCTTTATGTGCTCTATACATGTTCTCCTTCACATCCAGAGACTTCAGACAGCATCACCGAGAACCCCCTCTACATCATTCCCAACAGGTGGCCCTTCAGTCTCTGCTGGAAGGCACCTGAGGAGTGGAGGCCTGGAGCTTGCCTTTTTGGCTTGGGTGCAGTTCTGACTGTTAGGAAACTCTACATTTGGTCCTCTCCAACTTACACCCATCGCTCCTGGTTCGGGGCTTTGAATAAGGCTAATCCTGCCTCCTCAAGAAATCCAGCTCTGGCTCCCCTGCCCACCTCTTCTCTTCTCATAAAACATGTCTAGTTCCTTTGACTGAAGCTTTTACGGCCTGCACTCCATTCTTCTGCCCAGCTTGGTTGCTTTCTTATTCTCGATGCACTCCAACTTGTCAAAGTACTTTTGAAAATGACCTGCAACTAACAGGACCCAATTTGATTAGCTGTGGTTCCAACTCGGACCTATCATTTCTTCACACCTCCCACTCTCCTAGACTTTAGTCCTGGGTACTCTATTTTAACAGCAGCAGGGGCACCAACTGAAATTCCTTGTGGTTCCAGTTTCTTATTCCACTTGTGCCCACGAGACATGCAGGACAGAGATTTTTATCCCTATTTTACAGATAAGGAAACTGAGAATCTGAAAGACGGACTAGTAGAGCCAGGGAGAGAACCCAGGTCACCCACCTTCGCTAGCTAACATTCATGGGATCCTAACTGGAGAGCTGGAAGGGTCCTTAGAGTACATCAAATCCAAGCCCCTCGCTTTACAGCTGAGGAGACTGAGGCACAGAGAGGTTAAGTGACTTGTCCAGGGTCACACAGCTAATAAGTATCTGCGGTGGGATTTGAATCCCGCTCTTCCTGACTCCAAGTCTAGTACTCTGTCTACTAGGCTACATCACTTCTCATTCAGAGCTTTCTGGACAGTGTCTACTCTGCTTCTACCTACAGCCCAGTGACCCCTTAGGCAAGGATTCTTATCCTCATTTGGCAGATGGGAAGCTGAAGCTTAGACAGATCAAGTGACTTGCTCACAGACACAGTCTGTCAAGAAGCATCCAAATCATGAATTGAAACTGAGTCTCTCTTGACGCCAATGTCAGTGGGCACTGCTTCTCCATGTGTGCCATCTGAGCAGGCCTGGGTACCGGTCCTCAATGCCAGGTGTTCTCCAATCACGCCAGTCAAGCAGCCTTCCCCCACACGGGCCCCTCTAAGAAACAGTGGCTCCCAAGCCCTCAGCTACAGTGGCCCTAAGTGAGTCAACATAGCAGGAAGGGTGTCGGGTTAAAGGAATCCTTTTCTATTCTTGTAGAAAATGCTGACTTCCTCCTGCTCTCTAGCTTCTGTGACCTTTTTGTGCCTAGCCCTTTTCTAAGAGATGTGAGAGTTTGACCATCACCTGGTCCCATCCCCTTGTCTGTCAAGTGAGCCAGTGAAGTGACTGGTCCAAGGTCATGCAAGAAATTAGTGGCAGAGCTGGGACTTACCCCAAGGCTCTTTGTCCTGGCTGCCTGAAGCGTAAAGGGGTTCGTGTTGGGTAGTAATATTGGCTTACCAACCAGGAGCCTGGTTCACCCTCTGACTCTGTCCTGAACTACTTGTGTGACTTCAGGTAACTAATAGTGCCTCTTCTCAGGGCCTCAGTTTCTACCCCCCCGCCCCTGCCCCCAGTAAAAGGGTTGGACAAGATGGTCTCTAAGGTCACTTTCAGCTTGGACATCCCATAGTAATAATACTTTTCATTACAGTTTGAGAGCACTTCAATGTTTAGAGATAACTTTTCTCATAATCCTAAACAGAATGCTTGATCCAGGAGGGACATGCCTGAGAGCTTATATAGCTTTAACTCCAAGATCACTGAGCAAGCTGGTGGCAGAGCCAGGATTTTAACCCAGACCTCCTAATTCTCAGTTTGGCTCTCTTTCTGCCAAACCATGCTTATGATCCCCATTTTACAGATGAGAAAACTGAGGCTCAGGTCACACAGCCGGGACTCTGGTTTCC